TTTAGCCTGTTTTAGTTCGGAAATATGAAAAAAGTCATTATATTGTACTTATCCTGATAATTTATATCAAATCTCATCTAACATATGAGTAATAACATATAACATTACACCAAGTAACATGTCTTACTTCTAACTTCTAATGAGTGAAACTCATTTCATAATTTCGAAGCTAATCATAAAATTAATTTAATCTAAAAATAATAACAAAAATTCTAATTTATCAAAATATTTCAAAGTACATCTATATAATAGGTGTGAACGCATGCATATACATATGTCAGACGCATGCTAGCCTTTGCCATAAATATATATAAGTTACTAAATTTTCAATCAACTGTAGTATTTTAAATTATGAAACATCATTGCAAAATCATTGTGGTGTCTTAAACCTATGGCTGGTGTGGTTTATAATGGGGCATAATACATGAATTTGAATGTCTTGTTGGATATATTTTATTCCAGACTCTAAAACAAGATATTAAATTGTCCGAGGGAAGATAATAAGACTCAAGATAAAAGAATCAAATAAAGTTCAAGTAGTAAGTTAAATGAAGAGAATTTTGAATACAAGTGTATGCTTAACCTAAGAGTTGACAATATTAGAGTTCACCACCAGGAGGCGCATACACCTATTGGCACTTACTTTCATGGTTGTCAAACAGTGATTCATTACTGAGAAAGAGAGGTGGAGAGGGCTTGAGAGAAAGAAGGGAGAAACCTATTGACACTTACTTTCATGGTTGTCAACAGTGATTCATTACTGAGAAATAGAGGTGGAGAGGGCTTGAGAGAAAGAAGGGAGAAAAATGGAGTATAAGTAAATGATATAAGATATATAATTGGACATCTTTGGGTAACTAAACTTATTGAGACGAATTAGTTCAAAACATGGAGAAGAGGAAAAGAGATATAGAGAGGAAGAGGAAGAATTGACAGGTTGACAAGTGAGCAATAAATCTTCAATAAATTGGAGTATTTTAAAACAATGATGCATTATTGTAAGAGT